GCATGGTGTTTGCAACTATCAGCATCTCCGTCCCCATCAACATGGATGGTTGTCCAAAAATTTTAACTTTTGGTCCCTGGCAGGACGGAATAACTTTGTGGGCCCCCATAAATGAGAGATCATGAGGTGTCTGAATGAAGCCTCTTGTGCCTGTCAAACTGGATAAATGAACCCCTCTATAACATGCCACAAGCTAAAACTACACCCATAAAGTTAATTGGATGATAGCTTCCTGTAATCAAGATCTCAAAATCCTGCTGAGGAGCATGACTGAGTCAAATACCTGTTCAAGATCCAGCAGAAAATGAATGACAAGTACAAGTCCAGCTTGGCAAAATTGACGGCTGCCTTTTCTGTCACAGACCGTAAAACGTCAGCTTTTCAGATAGGTCTCAGAGCATCTGCCGCGGTATACCAGAACCGGACTTATCTCAGCCTCAGTTATGATGCGCCACTTGTTGCAGGCCATTTTATGGCTAGTAATCCCGTCAAAAATTCTCGCAGCACGACAGTACATAGTGGAAGTCTCTTCAGTTGATGTGAGTACAAAGGACTGATAGTAATGTCGCTGGCCACAGCTAAATTCTCTTATAGCATATCAAGCCTGTGGCAGACTCAATTGATCATGGCATCTCGTGTCTACAGGACGCAAAAATATACCTTCGCCACCAATACGAGAGTCTCATATTTCCTGGAATATCAGTGAGAATAGACAATAGCGACAATGCCGAGATGGATTACATAAAGTGTCTCAACTCAATAACTGGAGTGGTTAAAACCTGGCGGTCAGAGTCGTACTCTGCAGCGTCCAGAAATGAGTCGAACAATGCTAGTGCCTCATCGTCACCGATAGGAAGCAACACTTTTCATTCTCTGACTGGCGTCAAGCAATTACATGACAGAGGCATATTTGGACAGGGGCTCACTATTGCAATAGTTGATGAAGGTATTGATTACTATCATCCCGCTCTTGGAGGCGGATACGGGAAAGGCCACAAGGTACAGTTTGGCGTTGACCTTGTGGGGGACAACTGGACTACCGGAGACATACCACGAATGGATCAAGATCCATACTCGGAATGTACAGCCCATGGATCTCATGTATCAGGAATTGCTGCCGGCAACCATTCGGCCCTCGGATTCGTGGGTGTGGCGCCCGAGGCCACGTTGGAACATTATCGCATTTCTGGATGCCAACGAGCTCCAATAGCGTCAGATGTTATCTTGAAGGCTATCACAATGGCTCATAATAGGAATGTGGATGTTTTATCGTTGTCCCTGACGTTGAACACGGGGCCTTACCCAGATGGTGTGTTTTGCTTCTGTTCACTAATCTTACCACCTCATAAGTCTGACTTTATTGTTACAGATCCTGTATCCGAAGTGCTTACAAGGATATCTAAAGAGGGAAAAACCCTCGTTGTGGTGGCGTCTGGCAACTATGGGTGGCAAGGACCATTTTCAGCCAGTTCACCTGCATCAGCAACGGATATCATGGCTGTCGGTTCAGTCAATCAAATAAATGCGGTTCAAAGCCGACCACGAGCCAAATACAAGGTTGGCGCGGCGGAAAACAACACTACGCCTGCAAAAGAATTCCCCTGGACCCCGGCAACCCCAGGAAGGTTTCCGGCCTTTCTCATCTTACAGACGTCAAGTTTAAACATGACTGTTCAAGATGATGCATGCACAGCTTTGCCGGCTAATTCTCGCTTTGACGACAACGCTGTGGTGTTAACTCGTCGTGGAGGCTGCAAATTTAGCGTTAAAATGGAAAACCTAGTCGCAAAAGGTGCTCGTTACGTCCTATTGTACGACAATGTAGAAGGGCCGCTACTGGAATTCGATAATACTTTTGACGGAATATCTGCTGCTGGTTCAGTCACGGCACAGACTGGTTTGGAGCTAATCCAAGCTTTAGCCACGGGGACCAATGTCACGATGATGATGGATTCAGACTTTCAATTTGACCCATATGTCAAAGTTGGCGCAAACACGCTTCCTCCGGGACAAATCAACGGCCGTGGCTCGTGGGGTCCCGCAGGACTAGGCGATATCATGCCATCAATCCTAGCCCCGGGACAAAACATTTGGTCCACCTTCCCACGAAGTTGGGGTGGCTATGGTACCTTGTCAGGCACATCAATGGCTGCGCCCTACATTTCGGGTTGTTTGGCTCTCATGAAGCAAGCTCGTCCCAGCTTGAATTCTTCTGAGATTATGCGGCTCCTGACCAGTACTGCACATCCGCTGGCTTTTAATGACGGAACGAATAAAACATACGATTTTCTCGCACCTGTTTGGCAACAAGGGAACGGCATTGTCAATGCTACCCGAGCCATAGATACGAATTCCTTGGTATCAACTTCCAACTTGGCTTTCAATGACACCGAATACTTCACTGGGAAGGCATCCTTCCAAGTGCACAATCAAGGGAATGAGTCAGTCGAGTACGAAGTTGTTCATAAGCCAGCTGTAACTGTCCAAACATTTTTGGTTGATAGGAAAGAAGTCGTCCCTTGGACCAGAGACAACTCTTCTTCCCTGGCTAGTGATGAATTTCTTCAAAATTTGAAACCTAGACACTACGCAAATGTTACGACAAATTCCCAGAAAATATTGATAAGACCAGGCGAGTCAGCAACGATTCAGGTCACAGCGGATATTACCAACTTGGAAGAACTCGCTCCCGACTGCCCTCTGTATAGTGGTTTCATTCACTTGGATGGCAATGACACTACTCGGCTTACCATTTCATACGGCGGAATCGGGTGTTCACTGCGTCATGTGGCCGCCTTGCCCCCAGGTTGGAATCGGACCTATGTCACTGCTGCCACCGTGAAGCAGGCAAAAGGTGAAAAGTACAATGCTGCTCCGATCCCCCCAAATATGATATTTCATCTTGAACATAACACTTCGGCGATAATGCGGTCTAACTCCTCCGATTTGCTTCCTACTCTTAATTTACAATTAGCGTTTCCTAGCAAAGCTGTTTCTGTTCACGTCCTCTCAGCAACGGCTCAAGAATCGGATGAAGGTATGCCTGTTTTTCCCGCAGATAAAACTACTGCGAAACTCGGGGGCTTTGGGCGCACAGAGACAAGCTATTTTGGATGGAATGGAATACTCGCGAACGGTACTCTGGTTGCTGAAGGAAGCTATACATTCAGAGTGTGCGCTTTAGGAGGTTGGGAAAAGCCAGTAGACCTTAATGTTTGGAATGACTGCGTTATGACGACACCATTCATCATAAAATTTCGAGAATAACTCTTCTTTGTAAATATTAAAGAGCAGCAACATGTCATAACCTTGACTTTGAATAACTGGTATCGGTCTAACTAGTATAAGTTTCATAACTTGCTTTAATCACTGAATATTGTTTTTAAACGAGGACTTTAGAGTCACACTCTACTAATGAAGTTCTTTTATTACCACCTGCATTAAACAACCAGATGATCGACTTGAGGTAGATCACGGTATTACAAGGCTTTACTGATGCATCGCATCAACAAAGAAAGTTTACTACTGCTAACAGATTTCAAGACACACAAGTGAAATCCTCACAGCATATCCAGAAGCGTTGAGAGCGAACTTGATTCGCCGGTTTCTCCTACCCTCTAACTATTTTCGAATTCCTTGGTCCATATCTTACGGGTCATGATAAAGGCCGCGAATATTAGTCTCTCATTTCACACATACCAAAATTATCGCTAGTCAGCTGTGTATGGGTAAAATGCTCACATTAGCAGATGATTGAACCCCCAACATACATACACAGTCAGCTGCGAGTCAATATCTTTATCATTGTGGTAACTTTCACCTCTTCAAGCTCAGAAATTTGCCGTCAGTCAGCTAAGAGTGGGCAGGGTGTACTAATTCTATTGGATTTCATTCCACGTTCCTTTATCTTGTAGCTGATGGTTGACTCTCTGATTACACGGTGCTGCATTACTAATCTCGGCGTTGGTAGTGGCACAAGTTAAAAGCACTTCAAATTAATCATTCTTGCGCTACGGTTGAAAAAGACATCGTGGTTGATCTGAGTTTTACTCTTTGTATTATCATAGTATAGGCCTAAAGAGCCTATGCAGGATTTCTATTATCTCATCTTATACACTGGTTCCTGGACTTAGGGTTAAGCTCTTCACCCCATTAGGTTCTTGGTCTGTATTTTTGGACTCAAGCTCCTTGTATCGGCTTTTTAACCAGCCTGCACAAACCATTGTTTGAGGATCTCTCCTAGTAAATAGAACTTCAGGTGTCCATTGTAGAACGTTCCAGGCCGCTTGGGAAAAGACCAAGTTCGCCAGCAAAATTACCCATAACAATACGTCGAATTTCTTCTATCATGGAACCGAACAGAAATAATGGTCAGCCCAACGATGATAAGTCTCCTGTTACGGCCAGCTAACTGACAGTGGGTTTGTGTTAACAGTAAGCCAGGGATTGACAACAGTAACAGTCGTTCTGGGGTCTGGTCGATTGAATCGTAGATCTTCAAAGGTCTTGGTGATCAGTCAAGGCCTCAACAAGAGTCGTAGAGTAGTCGTCACTTAGGTATAGCTGAAAGTACCGGTTAGGGTAATCACAAAGTTGATTGCTGAAGAGCTATGGAAGTCTGTCCTCGAGCCCGGCTCGAGTCCATCCTATATACAAGTCCTGAACGGTCCTCCTTATCTTGGCTATGTTGGATATTTGACATATCCAACATATCCGGGAATCGGTCGGTTGGATATCTGACATATCCAACATATCCAGCCCGGGTTGTCCTTACCCCGCGTTATCCCCGAGGCCACGTGACTTGTCCATAGTTCTTCCGTTCCGAGGATCCCTGGTTACACCTGTCCGGCTGGGTTACATATGCCCTGCGTTAGAAAAACATCAACAACAGCGAGAACGAAATTCTTGAAAATCGGAGTTAAAACAGCACCAAAACACGATCTAACCGGTCAACTGGATAGCCGTGTGCTCGTCGTAAAGCCCAAAGCGACGTAGGCACCATGGCGACCCCATGGCCCAAGGATCAGACCTGGCCATCGCCCTATCGAGAGCACGCCACGGAACTCAGCAGATACCTACAGACAGCACTGAAATCTATCGATAACGCAAATGGACATCCAATCGAGCCGAAGGGCATCAGATCCGCATTCATCGGAACCCTTACCCTCCTTGCCAAACTACAGCACATCCCTGATATCAGCCACGTTCACGAAGCAGTTGAAAATTTGCGAGTGGAGACCAAGGCAGCGAATGAGAACGCTACCCGTACCACAAGCAGCCTGAGAATCGCCATTCAGCAAAACACAGCCGAAATCACACAGAATACAAACACCTCGAAGGATACTAACGCTACCGCTAAGGAGGCGCTGAAAGTTGGCGAACTGACAGCCAAAATGGTGAGGGACATCAAAGCACTGGGACCAATGAATCAGGGAAGCGCCGCGCAGTCTTATGCTAGCGTAGCTGCCAGAGGAGGACTCGTAGGAAGCATACATAACCCGCAGAACCAAAGACCGAACCATGTCCAGACCCTCCGCGAAATCATTGTAAACATTAGAGACCCTGTTACAATCGCCAGCATAAGAGCTATGAACCCCCGCTCCCTTAAGGCGCACGTAGACCGCGCTATCGAACAGAGCAACAATGAACATATCCGTAAACTGAAAACAGTATCCGCAAACCAGTTGAAGAGCGGAGACCTCAGTATCAAAACAGCCACAGCCACAGAAAGGGAAGCCCTACGCCAGTTCGCCGAGGACTGGGAACACCGTATTGGCACAGGGGCCGCGGTACGGATACCGACATACGGGATCCTCGCCCACGGCATACGCACAAGCACAATGGACATGGAGCGCTTCACGGAACTACGAGAGGAACTATTACAGGACAACAAGGCGTTTATCCCTACAGCAGAGATTAAATACATTGGATGGCTGACGAGATCCGCCAACACCAAGTCAGCATCATCCGTCATAGTTGAATTCTCAAAAGCGGAAGACGCCAATAGACTTATCGACGAAGGACTTATCTGGCAAGGAGAGGTGTTCCAATGCGAACGATACGACAGACAGTGCCGTCTGAGGCAATGCTTCAGATGCCACTCATACGGCCACATAGGAACCCAGTGCAAGGCAACGACAACATGCGGCTACTGCGCGCAAGAACATGCGACCCGAGAGTGCCCTACGAAGAGCGACGCAGACACACCCCGGAAGTGTGCAGCATGCCATGGAGAACACGAGGCCTGGCACGGCCGCTGCCCGACTAGGATGCGCGAGTTAGCCAAGATCAAGGAGGCCTATAGACAACGACCACGGTACCACCCAGAGGCGAAGACATCCCCAACCGCTAAGGAGACGGAACCCCAAACTGGAATAACAACAAGGCCGGTACTGGAACCAGGCCCAACTCAGGATACCCGCCCGGGGCGTAGCAGATCACCCATTAAGAAGAAAGTACAGAAACGCCAAAAGTCAACAGGCGGCGATACACAGCATGAAAACAACAAAAACGACGAAAACACAATCACAGTCGCCCCAGAGAAGCCCAGACCAAGGAGGGTAATAATGCCCTCCCGCCGAGCACTAGAAGCTATAGACGTAAACACGCAGACGATACACAACAGCCACAACATGGAAATAATCGACGATAGTGAATGATAACACAACATACACTTACAATACTACAGTATAACGTCAGAAAATCAAGAGACACCGTTATGGCTACGCTCCTCCGCGACCCTCGGATCGATAAATACGACATCATCGCTATCCAGGAACCATGGAAGAACCCATTTAACGCCACAACACACCACCCAGCAAAGGACCGCTTCCACCTCTGCTATCCGTCGAACAGAGAGGGAGGCCCAGCCAGGGTCTGCTTCTTCGTAAACAAAAAGCTGGACCACTCTAAGTGGCAGTTTAAGGAACACAGCAAGGATCTCTGTACCCTCACCATTGGATCAGAGACTGACCAGGGCGTCAAAATTGCCATACACAACATATATAATCCCCAAAATCAGGAAGAGGGAGAGAAAACGGTCCTACAACAACTACGAACAGCCCTAGAAACCAACAATCACATCGAGCAAATAGTGGTGGGGGACTTTAACCTCCACCACGAACTATGGGGAGGAAGCGACATTCGAACGACAGACGCGGGAGCCAGGGAACTGGTAGAACTCATGGACGACTCCGACCTCATCAACCAGCTACCCGCGGGAACAATCACATACAAGGAAGGAGACTATAGCTCAACGATAGACCTGTGTCTACTTACAGTAGGACTCATCGAAAGGCTTATTAAGTGCGGCATAGAAGACGAAGTAAACCACGATTCAGATCACCTTCCGATAGCAACGTCGCTAGACCTCACAATCGCGCAACTACAACCAGAGGAAAGGAGAAACTGGAAAGCCCTAGACGAAAGGGTATTCATAAGGGCTATTAAAAGGGAGCTCCCACCACTAAGGAGGCCAAGAACAAAGTCTGCCCTCGATAAATATGTCCAGGACATCACTGAAGCCCTCAGTATAGCGACTGAAGAAGCGGTACCAAAGAAGATCTTGTCCCCCAAATCGCGAGCCGGCTGGAGCGAAGAGTGCGAGGAGGTCCTGGCCGAGACCAAACGACTCCGAAGACGGTTCTATGCGGAACACACAGAACAGAACTGGGAAGAATATATCATAGCCCGAAACAAGAAAGGCCGGACGATAAGAAAGGCGCTACAAAAGGCACATCGCGAGGCGGTTGAAACAGCAGCAGAATCACCAGAATCACTCTGGAGGATTGCTAAATGGGCCAGAACCAGACAGAACCAAATGCCGACAGTCACGCCAGAAATCGCCAAGCCAGGTAGTAATCATACGGCAACCACACCTGAAGAGAAAGCAGAGCTCTTTCGGGAAACATTCTTCCCAGCACCACCAGAAGCAAACCTAGAGGACATACAAAACGCAACATATAGAGACCAGATCACGCTCCCACCAATATCCGAGAACGAGGTAGAGGAAGCAATAAAGAAAACAGCACCGCGTAAGGCACCCGGCCCAGACGGCATCACGAACAGAGCGCTACAAATCGCCAAACCATGGATCAGCCCTCACCTAGCCAGGGCATTTAACCAGAGCCTCCGCATCGGTTACTGCCCCCAGCACTTCAGGAAATCTACTACCATAGTGCTACGGAAGCCAGGTAAAGATAACTATACAGTTCCGAAAGCATATAGGCCAATAGCGCTGCTCAACACAGTCGGAAAGATTATGGATGCAATCATAGCGGAAAGGCTAAGCTACCTAGCAGAGACATACAACCTGTTGCCTAAGAACCATATGGGCGGGAGGAGACAGAGATCGACGGAACATGCCCTACACCTCATTATCGATAAGATATATGAGGCTTGGAACACTAGACAAGGGATGGCGGCGAGCCTCCTTCTCCTAGATGTCTCGGGGGCGTTCGACAACGTGTCACACCAGAGACTCCTACACAACCTCAGGAAGAGACGGATTAACGAATCCATAGTACGATGGATTACTAGCTTCTTAGGAAACAGACAAACCCAAATACACATCGACGGATACCGGTCAGAGCCTTACACGCTCACCACCGGCATCCCACAGGGCTCTCCTCTTTCACCGATCCTATACCTATTCTATAATGCAGATATCCTCGACAGATGTAACCAAGGCCAGGAAACACTGGCCACTGGGTTTATAGACGACGTAGCGATCCTAGCATGGGCAGAAACGACTGAAGAAACATGCCGCAAGCTCCAAGATGCACTAGACGAAGCGGAGGACTGGGCAACAACCCACGCCTCCGTTTTCGCGCCCGAAAAGTTCCAACTAGTCCACTTCACAAGGGCAAGGTCGAGAATCAATACCAATACTCCACTACAGAGCAAATGGGGGGAAATACACCCCAAACCGACATGCAAATACCTTGGCCTCACGATGGATGCCATACTTAGATGGAAACAACACATCGATGCGATAGAGCGTAAAGTCTCAAAAACCATCTCCGCGATCAGCAGCCTCGGGAGCTCCACCTGGGGAGTGAAGACCAAAGAAATGCGAACAATATACCAAGGAGTAGCAATACCACAGATGATGTATGCCTGCTCAGCATGGTCTAACTCCGGCTGGAGGGGAAAGGGATACACAGACCGAACTCTCAATAGACTGAAACGATTACAAGCAAGGGCGGCAAGGGCAATGTGCGGAGCCTTCAGGGCTACGTCCGCTCCAGCACTCGACGTCGAAATGAACCTGCTACCGATGGAGCAACGAATATGGAAACACAACATCGACACGATCAACAGGCTAGGCCCACCAGAGCAAGGCTGCGAAAGCACCCAGAATAGGAGGAAGAGAAGAAGAAAGAAGAAGCAAAGGTTAAGCCCAAGACACACAATCGAACAAGAGCTTCACAACAAACAGGGCAGTAACACCAGACCGAGCGAGCAGATCCCACCCTTCATCACCCCTCCATGGTGGCAAGGGCCGCGCATATATATCGCAGACACTGCGGAAACGGCAGCAAAGGAACACCAGACAAGTCTCGATATAGAAAATGAAGCGTTACATATCTATACAGACGGAAGCGGCATCAACGGCCACATAGGAGCAGCGGCGGTATGCCACACTACACGACAAACCCGTAGCTCATATATGGGAGATGACGCCACCTCAACAGTCTATGCAGGGGAGCTGCGAGGCATTATCCTCGCCCTCGAGATTGCGGAAGAGGATAAACGGAAAGGGAACAACAGAAGTAAAATCCTCATCTACACCGACAACCAAGCAGCCATCAGATCGTCAGCCAAGCCGAAGGGCAAATCAGGCTCCTACTTGCTCAAGACCATTGCAGACAAGACACAGAAACTCCAGGAACATGGACTTAAGACAGAGATCCGATGGGTACCCGCTCACACGGGAATCCAGGGCAATGAAGACGCTGACATAGCAGCCAAAGAAGCCACAGGCTGGCGGCAGAACGGCCAGACGGGCACTAAGGCAGACACACCAAAGGAGCTATACGCACTCCGGTCAACGCTTAAGACATGGACGCATAGGGAGGCAAATAAAACGTGGCAAGCCGAGTGGTCGAGAGAGACACGAGGTAGAACCACCCATCGTCACACGCCGAAACCAACAAAGAAAGTGTTACAGCTCCATAGTGGGCTAAGCAAACGACAGAGCTCAATCCTCGTGCAGATGCGCACGGAAAAGATCGGACTCAGGGACTTCCTCTTCAACCGAAGAGTTCCGGACGCCACGGACGCCAACTGCCAATGCCGGGAAGGACGACAAACGGTATCGCACGTCCTGTTGCGGTGCCGTAGGTTTCGACAACTCCGACGCCAGGAACTAGGAGCCATCCCAGGACGACATAACCTCCGGGTCGTATTGAACGAACGCAAAGCAGCCGCGAAAGCCATCAGATTCATGGAACAAACCGAGATCCTTGGGCAATTCAGGATCGAGTCACAACCCAGACAAAGCTGAACATTGGGGGGAGACTGTAGGTACGCAGAACCACAGAACGAGGCATTAGGACTCGACAGATCCTATCATAGAGGTCACATTAGTAGGAAACCGCGATCAACATTAGGTGGCCGCCAAATGTAGATAGAGGTTAAAGTGCAAAGCAGGAATTTGGGGACAGCTGGTCAATGTTTTCGCATTGGCGAAGTGGGGCGGCTCGGATTAACATTCGAACGCTTCGGCTGTCTGCCGGACCCCGCTATCCGGGCATAGCTGCTGACATAAGAGCGGCTCCATAACCGAGTAGGAATAAATCAATCAATCAATCATGCCCTGCGTTAGCCGCCGGGATCCAGGCGGGGTCGTGTTGGCGACCATGTCCAACGGGTCGTAACATCTCCCCTCATCGGCCTCACATCAGCGGCTAGCTCACTCGACTACCTAACTAGTGGACGTGCAAAATGTAAAGCATGGAAAATTCATTTGTGGCAACATAAAACAAGGGATATATTGCAACTACCAAAATTAAATAGGGTAGCAACTGTGATCCTACACCTGCCCAAGAAACTAGGTCCGCGGGAAGAGAATCATATTTTGCCAAAAAGAAACATACAACACCAGGTATTCGCTGGTCGTCACCGACCCAACTACTAATCCGGCCCTCATTGGCTTATCTATGGGAGAGCGGACGGGATCCCGAGTTTTCCAATGGGTATGGTCGTATGTAACAGTTTTTGGTGTGTTGTGAGTACATAAGCCAAAGTTAGCCACACTGGTAGCTTTGTAGTAGCCTCTGACCATCATGGCCGTGCCCGAGGAACAAGAGGCGCATCTTAAATACCTTCCTTGTGATACAAGAAAAGACAAAGCGACTTCAGCGCTTTGCCTAGAAAGAGCCTGGAGGAACGAAGCGAATGCAGGACCGACTGCAGCCGCCGTACAGCCGGCGAAGAAAGTCTTATGGCGGCAGGCGGCTGCGTTAGCCAAAAAAACAGAATACGAGTAGGAATCGAACCCTCGAAGGCCGCGAACTTAACTTCCTAATTCCATAAAGTTTGTATTTTCCGTCCCAAGAGCTCTTGTCCGATGGCATAATGGCCTAACACCATCACCAACTAGACCACCGCGGAAATTTTTGAAGGGGGTGGCAGACGACTTTTCCGCCCCTCGCGGTCCCTGAAAACCTTCCGGAACTTCGTTCCTCCAGGCACCGCAATCGTTCATCCATAAGTATGAACCAACGGGGAAGACAACAAAGCCCCGATTGACTATTTAAATTCAATTGAATTTGCCAGTGAGACTTTTATATAGTCTGTTGATGTATACTTTACAACTAGTGAATGTCCTGTAAATAAGCCTTCTACGATGCGTGTCGAACCGCCTGATTGTTAACCTGTCAACCGGGGGAAGATGACCTACCCACACTGAGTCTTACACAAATAGAAAGCGTGTTAGCTAGAAATGAACCCGCCTGGAAAGATTTGCGGCAAACTATCAAATGTCAATGCCTTCCGTTAGGAAGGTTAACTTCTCCATCCGCGAAGGCGTAAAAAACTATCCTGTGCCTTGATCCCCCCTGGTCTCCTGTTCTGTGATTGGCTAGAGCAAAAATCGATGCTGATTGGTCGTAGCGACCCTGCCACCAATCAGCGCTCGTTATTCTTCGTTCGACCAATCAGCTTCGTTTAACCCCTGTTCCGGCCAATCACCTCTCATGTTCGCCGTCCTCGGGTCTTCCCGTCGTTTACCCAATGTCTTGCCGGTCTTCTTCCATTTATTTCCCGCCAACCACTCTCATTTTCCCGTCTTTTCAACCCCTGGCCTAGCCCGGCCCAACCTCGCCCATCGAACTTTCCATCCTAATACCACCCTATCGTTACCTTCCGTGATTTCCTATCTATCTGATTAATATCTATTGCTTGTCCTTCCTATTGCTGGTTTCATAATATCGTATTTCTCCTCTATGTCTATGCCCCATAACCCCCCTGTGCTTTGTGATAGCAAGTCCCCTCTGGTTGTTCATCTTCATATCTACGTCACTAATGCTTTCTCTAGCTGGCGGTGACCTGCTGGATCGACTTGGTGTGAGCACCTCTATGCGCACCAGCCGAACAATAGAAGTTTTATCTTGCTCTCCAATAGCCCGGGAGCTTGCTCCCCGGAAACAGGGCAAGACGCTGTCGTTCGATCATGGTTATCGCATCATTGCTGCCCTGGTTCAGGCTACCGGCGTTGAGCGCCGACCTCCATGCGACCGATGTGCCCGTTCAAATGGTCCGTGGAAGCAATGTATTGTAATGCAGTCCGCTGAGGGTTTACGGGCTACGAATGGTGGGTGTGCTAACTGTTGGTGGAATAATACTGGTTCCCGTTGTAGTCACCGTATGTAAGGTTTTTTGTCCTCTTTCGTCCTGCTCTTTTATTAACTATTTTAGATGCTTCTTTCGCTAGACGTTCGGGTGTATCCTTGGGCTTGATCGGACAGCCACCAGGTACTCTCTCTGACTCTTTCTCTGCCTTGGATCGATGGGAGATAGAACTGGAGACTCTCGGTAACCCTGGTATTACCTCGCGTGCATCCACACTGGCCAGAATGGATGCTTCTGAGCTGGTTACTCATTACAAAGACCTTACATCCCGGTTAGAAGCAATCCACGCCTCGATAGCTCACTTGACGAACGAGTGCCAGCTATTAGGCCAGCAGGTTTCGGAGGTTTCCTTAGTCTTGTCTTTCCAGCGGACATTCGAGGTACGGAGGATTCCTCCGGGTCTAGCACATATTAACTTTACGCCTATTGTATGCCCTCCTTCTGGTCATAGCAATGAGTCCAACAGCACTACACAAGACAGCAATACGCGATAATAACCCAGTGTTAACCCGATTCATGACATGCCTGAACCGCCAAGGCAAGACCACTAATCTGTCCTTTCATCTTAATGGTTTTACCTCCCTATTTACTATTCCGCCCTCCTATGCTTCATCTCTCTCCCTAGCCTCGAACGCCCGGACTGTTGCTTCCGCGAGGATCCTTAGTCTTTTGGTTCCTTCGACTAGCTCCTCCGGCATGCGCGCCTCTAGGAACTGCTTTACGTTTAACGGCTGTATGAGAGCGATATCTTCAAAGCGCCGCACGCGGGATAGCTGAACATACATGCTTACTGCATCGCATCTTTCAAGCTCCCCCGTATTCTTACCCACTGTTCTCCCATAAAGCCCTAACAGTGTCTTTTCGAGTGTCCGCCCCTGTGCCTTAAAGTCGGTTAATGCGAAGCCTGGTGTGCATGGGAGCCCTGTCCGGACTAGCGCTAGTTTTACATTGGCTTTCTGCAGATCTGGCCGGAGTATTTTGATGTGCTTTTCTGGTACTCGAATATTGGCTGCTGGCAACATTACAGTATTAGGTGGCAGATGGGGGAAAGCTAACCCGTTCGTTTCTTCGGACTGGAGAATAATACCACTAGGCGGTCCGAGAAATATGGACAGCCTGTCGTTTATGATGATCTCTTCTACTCCGGGCGGATGAAGAATTCCTACGGCTGTAAACTCTGCGCCGTTGACAACCTTGAGACCCATATACTTGTTCTCGTTGATTACCACCGGCATACCCTCGACATAAGGGAACATACCAGCTGCGCTCAGCTTGCCCTCGTCGCCTAATAGCATGGCTGCTTTTCTCTCCTCTGCTGTAGGTATCCGCGATTCCCACTTGTGCTTCGAAAGATATATCGATATCTTACGACCAGTATCGACGCTATATGCTAGGGCTGCATGCAACGTCAGATCCCACCGGTGTCGGTTTAGAGGTATAACAGCTCGCCTGCCGCTGGTGAAATCGAATTTCGATTCGCTATTATATTGCGCTTCGAGCTTCGCGGCGTCCTCTCTTGTCTGCTTGCCCTCTCGCAGGCGTTCAAGAAAACCAAGCAGGTAGGCGTCCCCTTCAGCCCGTTTTTGCTCGTCGAGTACTACAACATTAGTAAACCCCTGCCAGAGTTCTTTAGCTTTAGCCTCTTTCCAGCGTCTCTCTATAGCTTTGCTTCCCGGTCCTATATTTCCTAGCACTATACCAATTCGTTCGGTAGTACTAAGGAGGCTCTTCTGCAAAACTGGCGGGAACTGTAAGAAGTCTCCAGTGAACACGACGACAGAAATGCCACCAAAAGGCTTCTCTGGGAAGCCCCTTAACATTCTGAGCTTTTGATCGATATCATATAATGTTTGGAGTCCGAGCATGCTGGCCTCGTCGATTATCAGAGCATCCCGCCTGCGCCATCGTTCTTTGGCTTTCTCTAGATTGTTCGATAACATTGGTTCTACGGTAGCGCCATCGGCGTCCCGAAATGCCAGCCCTACAGCAGAATGAATTGTATTACCGCCGATACCTGCTGCGGCCGTTCCCGACGTTGCCGTAATAACAAGCCGGCTGGACGCCCCTTTGGCTGCGAAAACCTCTTTTACGGTATCGATAAGCCACGACTTTCCAGTGCCGCCTCCCCCGCCAACGTATTGCAGGTGTTGCCGATCAGCGCCGTTTGTTCGTTCGTCGAGCGCCTCGCAGATGAGACTAAGCGCTATTCCCTGCATGCGATTTAATGTTCTCTCCGCACCGATAATCTTCCCTGCCTGGGTGAACGTATTAGCGGCCGTAATTGCGATCCAGTTTGAAGCAGGTTTCAGTCCAACTATCGCTGGCTGGGCTGGGAAATCTATATTAGCATCGTTGTCGCCAAAGCCTGTTTCGGCACCGGTATGTAGGGGTCTTTCGGCGGATTCATCCCCTTCGATGGCTAGCATTCGCTCTTTATGGAGTCTTTCCTGCGCCGCTTTGGTGATTTTTAAATGTTGCTTTGGTAGTGTTGTTTGCATATGTGGTTGACTGTTGGTGCTTTGTATTCTGGAGTCGTCATCTATGCTAGAAAACCCGGCGTTATCCAGCGTTTGTAGCAACTCTTTTATGCCTGGAGAACCATTCGTAACTCCTGGTCCGTCCTGTAGGCTGAAGACTACATCGTGAAAGGTG